TTAAAAAAATTATATATATTTGCATAAAATTATATAAATGAAAAAATTATTTATATTAGTTCATTATTATTTAATTAAATTATATCTTTATTAATATTATATTTTTTCAATTTAAATATTAATTTTTTAATACAATTTTTTTATTATATGTATGTTTTAAATTAGTAAAACATATTTTTTTTAATTATAATTATATTATTAAAATTTAATCATAGTATTATGTTTAGTTTATAATATTCTAAAACTTTTTTTTAATAAAAAAACACCTTCTAACATGAAAAAATTAAAAAATTAATTTTTAAAATAAATGATAGAAATCGATAAAAAGACTGTAATGATATTATATTATTTAAAAAACTAAATATATATATATATATAATATATAATTAATATATATATAAAAAAATGGAAATTATTTGAACTCAAAAAAATTAATTTAAAATTTAATTTAAATATAATTGATTTATATGACTAAATAAAAAATAAATTCTATTATTTTTTATTTAATTATTACTTTATTTATGTTTTGATTTTTTAAAATATTATTTTATTGAATAATTTTTTGTTATTTTTAATTAGAATGAATATAAAGTATTTCTAATACAATTAATGTTATTTATTTTAAAAATACATAAATAATATTATTTTTATGTAAATTATTATTTATATTAACAATTTTATTAATAAGATTGAAGTTTATTTCATTCAATAATTAAAATAATTTCAAAATTAATTAAAAATTGATATAAATTTATATAATAAAATATTATATAAAAATTTAATTATATATTTTTTTTAATTATAAAGAAAAATTATTTGATTATTAAGATAATTATATTTTCAATATTAAAATTAAATAAAAAATAAACATAATTTTTATTTTAATTAACAATTTATTTGCTTTTAAATTAAATAAAATAAAAAGATTATAAAAATTTTTTAACATTATTATATATTTTTTAAAATAAATATAAATTAAATGTTAATTATAATTAATAATATTTTATAAAAAAATAACAAATATATAATGTTTATCATCCCTATTTTTATATATATATAAATATTAATATATATTTAAATTAACATATTAATATTTAAATTACATAAAATTTACTAAAACATTAAAATATAATAAATTTACTATTTTTAACCATTTGTTTATAAAATTAAGTTTATCATTGTAACAATTTTATTTAAATAAGTTTAAAATAGCTTAATTATATTCATTTTATTTTAATTTCATTTAATCTATCAAATTATTAATTTTTTATAAAATAATTAAAAAAAGTTAATTTCTATTTATACATATTGCCAATTTTTCATATTAATAAAAAAATTTCGACTAAAAAAATAAATATTTATTTTCTTTTTATATATTATATCTGAAATATATACAAAATAAAAAAAAGTATTATTTTTAATTATAATAAAGAATTAGTTAATTAATATATTAAAGTATTTATTTTCTTTTTTACATAAAACAGTTATAAATTTATTTTTTTTCTAAAAAAGAACTATTTTATATACATTTATCAAATAAAATTTTTAAATAGAATTAGAAACAATACAAAAGGAAAAAGTTATAAATATAAATATATATTATTTTTGTATTATATTTTAATCTAATTTTAAATTAGGAATCTCTAAATCAACATTTGTAATTTTCTAAGGTAAATTTTAAATAAAACCGCCTAAATTCACCATATGTTTTATGTGTTTAATTCATTATAAATTATATTTATTCAAAATTTTAAATGTTTTTATAGTTTATAATAATACATACACCACTATTTGTATAATAATTAATATTATAAAAAAAGCTTATATAAATATATTTTTGTTTTAATATTTATACTCGTTTTAACATTTTTTATAAAAGGATATTGAATAAAAAATTATATAAAAATATTATAATTATAAATAAAAAATAAATATTATTTTTTAATACTGCATATATCTTTATATTTGGTTAAGAAAAATCGAAATTTAACTTATATCATATAATTAAATTCAAAATAAACTAATACTTAGATTTTTTTTTTTTCAAATTAAAAACTTCCTTTCGAGATTAAAACTAATACAATTACTTTACTTAATTAAAACTGTTAGTTTAATATTTATATTATATATTCTTGATTTATTTTACTTTAATTATCAAAATAAAGATTTCACTTTATTAGCCATTATTTGTATATTTATAGAAAGTGCATAAGTAATAGTTTTATATCTATAATTAATATATTCTAGACTATAATTTATTTCTTTCTTTTTTAAATTATTGTTAATTAAATTAAAAGATATATAAAAATTAATTTATTTTTATATCGTAATATTAAATTAATATATAAATTTTTATATATAATGAAAAAAAATAAAAGATAATAACATTTAAATAAACTTACTAAATTTCTTTTTTTTTTTAAAAAAAAAAAAAAAAAAAATTAACAAACAAAATTAAAAAGTAAACAAAACAAAACAAAAAGGAAAAAAAAAAAAAGTTAAAAGTTAAAATGGAAACAAATAAGAAGAGTATAAGAGCCCAAAATAAATAAGAAAAACTCTAAAAAAATTCAGAAAGTTAAACTGATACATAATCAAATGATTCCAAAAATGATTTCGAAATTTAACTCTAAAATCCATCTATATTAAAAGCATAAAATTTTTAAAAAGAAGAAGATCTTTTATAAAAGCTTGAAATCGAAAAATATAAACTATAAAATAAAATGCTTTAAAAGCAATAAAATATAATCGAAAAAGTAATAATAATTCAGCCTAAAGAAGAAATTTAAGAAGAAAAAAACGTGATTTTATTAAAATAATTACTAGAAGAGAAATATTAAATATAGTTAGAATAAAATAAATTTTAATTTGAATAAAAAAAATAATTACTTTTTCAAGAAATTAAAAAATTATAAACAGAAAATGAATTTTTAATATAAAAAAATATAGAAATAGAAAACTTTATAAATGAACTTGGCACAAAAAATATACAAGAAGCTTAAATTAAAATAAAAGAAGAAATAAAAACTAATAAATAAGAAAAAAAATTTATTATGTGTATCTTTGATATGGTCAATAATTGTAACCAAAAAGAAATTCCTAAAGAAAACCTTAATTTAAAATAAGTTTGGAAATGGTTAAAAAATATAATGTAAGAATATATATAGATGAAAAATAATATATTTGCTAATTAAAAAATCGAAAAAAACATGTTTAAATCTTGTATAGAAGAAGGTTTTTTTTAAAATGAATAATAAAAAGAAGAAATATTAAATTAATAAAAAAATATAATGAAATAAATTAATTCCTTACTAAATATTGATGATAATAGTAAAAAAGATACTCTTAATTCTATTTAAAGTATCATAATAGAAAATAAAAACAATAAGAAAATTATATAAAAGTTAAATAATTAAATACTTTAATTGAATAATAATTAGAAAACGTGTGAATGCAAAAATCAATTAAAATTAAAAATAAATTAAAATAAAATTGCTAATTCAAGAGATACTTTGGCTTTTATTTCTCCTATTAAATAAGATTAAAATGTATTTTATAAATCATTAAATAGAATTATTAGTCCTGTTAATAATATAAGAAAAGATGAAAAAAAACATAAAATTAGTAATAATCCATATAATAAATTTTGAAAATAATATTATTTTATTGTAAAAATAAAATTAAATTGAATCAAAAATAAAATATAAAAACGAAAAAAAAAATATTTATAAATATATATTAAAATATTATTATATATAAATAAATATAAATATATTTAGAAATATTTATATCTATATTTATTTTTTATTTATAAAATTAAAATAAATAATATTTTATTTAATTATAAATATATATTTTATTTTAAAATTAATATAAAATAATAGTATTTAATTAAATTTTCATATATATATATATATAAATTTTATTTTATTTTTCTTTCTATTTTTAAATCAAATATCTCTAATCAATTATTACTTAAATCCTTTTAAAACATATTCATTTAATTTTTCAGCATAATAGTCATGTCTTCCAGTCATAGTAAATCCCCATTTATCTTTTATTTATTAACATAGATTAAGATCAATATCCACTACTAGTAATCCATCTTAAGTTCTTGACAATCCCGGTGTTCTATAAAAAATAAAAAAAAATTAAAATAAAAATTAAATAATAAATAACTACCTTGTACCATCAGGCGCCGCTACATAACTTGACCCATAGAAATGTCCAAAATCATTATGAGCATTTTTTCCATCTCCAGAAGTAAATTTGTTCGGGAATTATTCTGTTCCTACTCTATTGATTGCTACTGTGAAATAATGATTTGCAATAGCCGCATTTCTAGCCTCTATAGGCCACATAGGTTCACTTAAACCGCCAACAGTTGCAGATGGATTAAATACAATTTCAGCTCCATTTAGACCGAATTATTACCAGCTTAAAGGATGGTGTCTATCATAGCATATATTGATTGCTATTTTTCCGAATTCGGTTGCAAAAACTGGATGTCCAGTATTTCCTTCCATATAGTAAGTACTTTCGTTAAAATCACCTACTCTAGGTATGTGATTTTTTCTATGTTTGCCCATATATTTTCCTTTATTAGAAATCACTACTGCAGTATTAAATATCACTCCTCTTTCATCATCTCTTTCTAATATAGAACTAACTATTACCATATTGTATTTTTTTGCCATATCTTATAACATTAATGTAGTAGGCCCGAATTCGGCAGATTCAGCTAATTCTACCCATGGGTATTTTTCCCTAGTGGCTACAAAAAAGGGGCAAGTCCAAAGTTCTTAAAAACAAATTACATTGACACCACAGTGATAGGCGGCTTCTAAAATATTCTTATTATATTCATGAATGGCATTTCTTTAGGCTAATATAGGGTCTGTAGTTTATGCTTTATATATATTTTAAACAGCACCGATTTTAACTCGGCGGGGAAGACGGGCTTATTCTGTTTGGGCACCAATTTTATATTCAGCGAGTTCGAAATTGTGAGTTTTGGAAAGATTTAAAGCTATATTGTTTATTTTTTGAGGATCACAATTTGCTCCATATAAGATTTTGAGAACTTCTTTCTTCTCTTTTTCAGGTAAGTATTCATTAATAGCTTTTTCAACAGAAATAAGTTCTCCATATTAGAAATTAGAAGAATTATTAATATTATTATTATTAGAGTTTTCAAGTTATTTCTACAAATGAGAAATAGTAGATTTGGCTATATTAAGTTCTTTTTATAAACTAGTTAACTTTTCTTCCATATTAACATCTACTTAATTAGTTCTATCAACAATTTATTTTTTATAATCTCTTTCCTCATCCAAAAATTTCATCCTCTCATATGGAAATCCAAAAGGCTTTCTTTCCACAAACTTCCCCTTTCCTCCTTTTGGGTAAAAAATGCCATTATCCCATAATATATTTCCTCCTGCAATAGTAGTACTAGCTCTCCCTTATATACTGAGTCCTTCAAAAACATTATGGTCATGTGCATGATGGTGATGTTTATGAGAAATAGTATGCTAAGCTTCCGGATCCCAAACAACTAAATCTGCATCACTTCCTTCTTATATTCTTCCTTTTTACGGATAGACATTAAAAATTTAAGCTCCAGCAGTACTTGTTACTCTAACGAAGTCCATGGGACTTAAAATACCACTTCTAACTCCATTATTCCATACTATGGACATTCTATCTTCTAAACCATTACATCCGTTTGGTATTTTAGTAAAATCGTTTTTTCCTACCCTTTTCTAAGCCTAGGAGAATGTGCAATTGTCTGTTCCGACTGTATGAATGGCTCCCATAGCTAGATATTTCATCATTTTTACCTTACATTCAGGATCAGGGGAAAGAGAAGGTGACATAACTGCTCCGGCAGCTACATCCCAGTTTTTATCCCAGTATTTTCTCCCATCAATACCCAATGTAGAGGCTAAAGTTTCTCCGAAAATGGGGAAACCTTTCTATCTGGCCCTAATTACCTCCTCAGCAGCTTCTGTACCCATCAAATGTACTACATATAAAGGAGTAGACAATTCATTTGCGAAAACAATTGCTCTATGAGTTGCTTCGGCCTCAACTTCTTTACTTCTTGACAAATAATGACCTTCAGGGCCTGTAACACCTGCATTTAATATTTTATTCTATAAATGGTCAACTAAGTGTCCATTTTCAGCATGAACCATAGATAAAGCACCTAATTCTTTACATCTTTCTAAACATTTAATCATTTCTTCATCAGTAACCATTAAAGAATTTTTATAAGCTAAAAAAAATTTAAAACTAACTACCCCCAATTTAATTAATTCTTCCATTTCTTTGTATACTTAATCTCCCCACCAAGTAATACAACAATGAAAACCGAAATCATGATGTACTTTTGGATCAGCCCATTTTCTCCATTATTCGTAAGCTTATAAAAGAGACTACTTAGGTTTAGGAACTATAAAATCTAATAAAAATGTAGTCCCGCCAGCCGCTGTAGCACGAGTTCCGGTGTCAAAACAATCTTATGATACTGTACCCATGAAAGGCATTTATAAATGAGAATGAGTTTCTATTCCTCCCGGGATTACGTATTTATTATTAGCGTCAATTATTTGGGAATTCGAAAGGGGTTAAAGGGTGCCAGGTGTACCGATTTTTAGTATTTTTCCATTAAGAAGTTAGACATCACCTTCGAATTTGCAGTCGTGGTTTATAATTGTACCTCTTTTAATAAATATTGGAGAGGTTGAAAAAACTTTTTTAGGAAGTTTTGTTAACATTTTTTTAATAATTATTTAATAAAATTATAAATTAAATAATATAGATATATATATATATATATATATATATATATATATATCTTTTTTCTATTATAGAAGGATGGATATTATAGACGTGTGTTTTTATAATAATAATTTTTGTATATAAAATAAAAAAAAAATTATGAAAAAAACATTTTTTTATTAAAAAGGAATTTTATAAATAAGATATTTTATATATTTTCTTGAATTTTTTTCATTATATATATTATTTGTTAATTTTTTTTTTTTATATTTATTTTAGGCATTTAACTAAAATAAAAAAATTAGCAAATATTCAATATTTAATGTTGATAGAGTTTGAAATAAAATAAAAGAATAAAAGAATAAAAAAAAAAAAAAGAAATAATCTAAATTCTTATTTTAAAGTTTATTTTTATATAAAAATATAATATATTTTTATTATTTAAAAAATTATTAAACTTTTTATATAAATAAATTGAATTATTATACAAAAATTTATATTTAAAAGATAATTTTATTAATATAATTAATTATATTATAAAAATAATAATATATTTATTAGTAAATTTTTCGAAATTATTTTATTTTTTAATAATTATATATTAAATAAAAATAAATAATTAATTTTATACTTTTAATTTATATTTTTCTAATATTTTTTTTTATTTTAAATAATTAATTTTTTTTTTCTTATCAATAATACTATTTTCTAAATTTTATTAAAAATATTTATCAACCTTGATTTCTTTTATGTCATTTAAAAAAAAATTAAAAGACTTAAATTTTAATTACCATATAATATAATCAAATTAATTTTGGTTTTTTTATAAAAGTTTTGCTTTAATAATTTTTATTGAATATCTTATTATTTATTTATTTAAAAATTCTAATAATTATATATTTATTTAAAAAAAATATATATAAATATTAACTAAAATTTATATGGAAATATATTTTTAATAATTAAAATAAATTTAATTTGTAAAAATAACCTAAAAAATATATTACATATATATTTTTTAGAAATAAAAAAAAGACATTGATTTCTTTTATTAATTTAAAGTTTTTTTTTAAAAAAAGAAAAAATTAATTAATAATTGTGCTTTTTTTATTAAATTTTTTTATATACATTATTTAATAAAAAGATTTCAAAAAATATAAAAACAATTTTGCCTATATATAAATAATTAATTAATATTTTAAAAACTGTAGTTATAACTAAAATATTTATTTTATTTAATCTTATACTATATATTTTATATAAAGTTATTTTAAAACTAAAATATTAAATTATCTTTATATAAATGAATAATCATCAATTTTTAAAAAATAAGAACTAAATTTAAATCAATTTATATTTAAACAATATATATAATTAAATATTAAATACATTAATAATCTTTTTTTAAAAAAGTATATTTTAATAAAATATTATATGAAAATTTTAATTTTTAATAATTATTAAATATTAAATATTTAATTTTTTTAAATGAATTACATATAAATATAAAACAAAAGATAAAAAATAAGTATATTGACCAATAATTTCATTTATTAATTATTAATAACATAAAAAATTCAATATACTATAAAAATATATAAAATAAAATAGATATTTAAAAAATTTAATTATTAAATAAATATTATATTTAATTAATTTTATAATTTTTTAATTTTATAATTTTATTTTTATTTATTTTAAAAATAAATTTTTATTTTACTATGTATTTTTATATTTAATTATAAGCGTTTTTTTAGGAAAAAAAAAAAAAATAATAAATTTGACGATTTTTTTTTTATATATTAAATATAACAAATAATATAAAAAAAATTTAAAACTTAAACCCTCAAAATAAAAAAAAAAAAAAACCCATAAAAATAAATAATAATGTTTTTAACATTTTCTGACTTATTAGCCCCATTTAAAGTTATACAAAGCAAAAACAAATTATCTGCTTAAGAATAAGAATAATTAGAAAAATAAAAATCAATTACCGAAGGTGAAAAATAAGTTAAAAAATTAGCAAACATCGAGCGTGGAGTAATTCTCGGAGAATACGGCAACTAATGGACAAAACTTCATTGGGACATGAATATTGATAGAAGAGGATTAGGCCGTAATATTTCCCATTCAAATCACATTGCTTTAGTTGTTAGTGACATTGGAGCTTCCACTTATTTCTATTCCGATATATTAGGTTTGTAATAAATTGAAAGACCTAACTTTGATAGACACGGAGCTTGGTTTACAATGGGAAATATTGAATTACATTTAATAAAAGGTATGCCATGTGTACCTTTTGGAGATGATTTATTAGTAGGACATATCGCATTGGAAGTATATGATGCAGATGTTGTTTTAGAAAGACTTAAAAAATTCTAACCTATGATAGATTTCCAAATGAATGTTTCTGTACCGACTGCTCATGAAAAAAGTGTTGTTAAATAATTCTTTTTAAGAGATCCTGATGGTTATTATGTTGAAATTTCTAATACTTAAGTTTTGACCGAATTTTGTTTCGGATCTTGTTTGAATAAAAATAGAATAAAAAAAGGATACGAAGAAGCAGTGATGAAAGTAAATAAGTCAATTAGTATTTTTCTAGTTTCCAGATTAGTGAGATTTGCAAAATAAGCCAAAGACAGGAATAAAGACAGGGTAAATCTCAGAAAATATAAAACTGATTTTTCCAAATTTGAAGCCGAAAAAATAGTCGTAAATGAAACTTATTTAACAAATTTATTAAAAAGAACTAAAATTTCCGGAGATGTAATTTAGTCCGAAAATGAATAATCTTTAAGGGCTTTATTAAAAAAATATTAAAATTATGTCCCAGATGTTATTTTAGAGGTGACTGAAAAAGCTGAAAAATACGGATAAATAATCAAACCTCCTACTATTTATAATTACGGAGATATATCTTAAGCAAATGAAACTTAAAGTATTATTGTTTAAAGAAAATCTAGTGCTCTTTAGAAAAAATTCCACAAGTATGGAGATTATATGTCTAGATTTTAAGATTATTTCGATTAAGAAAAAAAACAAATAATTCTTTTGTAAAATATTCTAACTGAAGCTAAAAATTCGAAAGACTTTTAGTAAGATAAGGAAAATATTGAATTATTAGAAAAAGAACTCTTTGCAATTAAATAATAAGAAAAATAAAAAACTGAATAATTATTAAAATTATTAAAATCTAAAAAAGTAGGATAAAAATATAAAAAACTTAAATAAATTATTTAAAGATAAATACTCTTTAATGATGTCTATAAAAAAATTTAAAGTAAATAAAGCATCTCTTCTATTGATAGTGATTTTGAAGATGATGATATTTAAAATTTAGAAACTGAAGATAACAAATTAAATAGTTAAGAGGTTTGAGAATCAATTTTTTTTTTTAAACAAATAAGTAATAGTTTAGAATTATTATTTTATATATATATATATTTATATTAAATTTATAATATAAAAAATTTTATCACTTTAATATTTTTTTAAAACATAATTTTTATTTTAAAATCATTAAATAATTTTATTTATTGATTGAAATATTATTCTAATAATTTATATTAATAAGATAATATATTTATATTTAATTATTTATATTATATTTAATTTAAAAATTATAATTTATATTTGTATCTATTTTTTTACTATTATTAATATAATTTTTATTTAAATATATATATGCTAATTATTAAAATAATTGTTTTTCAAGAAAAATAAGATTAATAATTATTACATAAATAATATATCTAAATAGTTCAAATTACATTAATGCTTTTATAAAAAAAAGATTTTTTAATAGTTTATCTTTTTTTAAAAAAAATTAAATTTTTTTAATATTTTTTGAAAAAAAAAAAATATATATAAAATAAATAAAAAGTTCATAAAAAACAAAAGCACATTAATATAAAAATATAATCTACATGCGAAAATAATATAAATAAATACTAACATATAATTATTAATTCTTATTAATATTATAAATGAAATATTTATTAAAATATTCATATATATAATGCGATTAGAATTTTGATTAAAAAACATTTAATATCTAAAATATAAAGAAATATTCTTGCTATTGATATAAAAAATGTCTATAGAAGAAAAAGTTAATAGTTTTAAAAACTTTATTATAAAAGTATGATATAACATAGAATTTAAAAGAAAATTAAAAAATATAAATATAAATAATTAAAAATGAAAAAAATATATTATAAATAAAAAAAATATGATAATAAATAAGATAATAATTTTTTTAATAAAAAAGCAAATTTATATTTTTTTTAATAAATTATTTTTGTAAATATAAATAAAATTAAATATAAATATATTTTTATAAATCAAAATTTAAATAAATTAAAAAAATTAAAAATTATTTATATAATTATAATTAAGAATATAAAAGAAATATTAAATATAATAAAAGAAAATATATATTTAAATATTATATATATATATATAATATTTAATATATACATAAACAATATAATAATTTATATTTCTATTTTTATATTTATATTTATATTTATATTTATTTATATTTATATTTATATTTATATATATTAATTAATATATCTTTTTTATTATTTATTGTTTTTATTATTTAATAATTTTATATTAATTAAAAATTAAAAATACACAATCTTTTAAATAATTATAAATTTTTATTTTTTATATTATTATGAAATTTTATATTTTTTATTTAAATTAATATTTAATATTATTATATATTTTATTTTATATATTATAATTTTTTTTTTTAT